ACTAGATTGAATATTGTTTCATGCGTCACCACTGCTTTTCTTTCCAAATACTTAGCTCTGTTTCACTTCTTTATCTATTATTGTTTATATGGTCTTGCCTTTGCGAAAGATAAAATGGTCTTGCTGACATAAGCTGGTTCATCCATTTTTCCTCTCAATTTGACTATGTTTTTTGAAGCTGAAAACTGGGAGTAAGCAGTTAGTAAATCAATAGTCCCAGAGATTGCAAACAGCAAATTATAGCAAGTCTCTGGAAGCTTCAGTACTTTTCTATAATATGAATAAATGTGTACTTTAATGTTGGTCAGTGAAGTCTTAATTTAATTTAAAATAAAAACTTAAAGCCATTGCTACAAAGTCCATGCCTTGTTTGAATTTAAAACAAAATATGTAAAAGCAATAGAAATATTTTTACAATATGTTTACTTTCAAAAGTGAATACCTGATGGGCTCACAACATTTTTGCAATCCAATCAGTTGCAGCATGATTCTGAGATTTAGTAATCTGAAAATACAGATGCAGAGAAAGGGAAACCGACTTGGCAAATTTTGCTGAATAGATTGAATATTGCTTGGAGGTTCATGTATTTCATATGACGTGTTCTTCTTTCATTTTGAAGCATTTTAGATACATCAGAAGGAGAGCTTGCGTCTACAGTGTTCTAATGAACTAACTAAAATGGAATGGTGGCTGAGTAACATTTGTGGAAGGGTTTCTGTTCTGTAGCATGTGACTGATATAGTGCTTGCTGATAGTTAAGGCTTCCCTAAACTTTTGCTGAATGTGTCTGGGTATTTTCCAGCTTTTGTGGCCAGATGGTCTATCAGAATATGGGAATTAAGTTATCTGTAGGGATTGACAGTGAAAAAAGCTGCGGAGAATGCTGAAGCTGCTTGAGTCTCTGTCTGCTTGTCATCTTGCTACAAACATGCCTCTCTGACTTGGCTGGGTTGTGGCAGTCCTCATGTTTAGTTCTTAGTGGTAAGATACAGCAATGAACTTGAGCATGCCTAAAGTTTAGGAGCTGCAATGTCCAAGTGCACCTCCTGGTTCCCAGAGAGAGATGCAGAATGTGCTCCGTACCTGTCAGGATTCCAATCTGTGCTCCCAACTCACTCTTGATGCTGTGCTATTCTGCAAGATTTATTGAATGTGAGAAGGGAGGATTGTGGTTTTGAAGCCTAGCAGTTAGGGCAGTCACCTGGGGAATGGGAAATGCAAGTTACAATTCCTGTAATTCCTATAGATTATCCATACCTTAATTAGGTCTGAGATTATGGCTGTTATATGCTGTACTGGAGGCTGCGCTGCGGGACTATTCACAAAGTGAAGCTGGTAGAGAATGCCTCATCCACTTGCATAGTGCAGCTATGTATAAAGAACATCCTAGTTTGTGCTGGCAACTGCACCCATTTCTACACCTGAGGTCTCGGTTTTAAACTATTAAATCTTAAATGTTTTAACACGGAAAGAGGTCGTGTCCCTGCCGCAGCTGAAGTCAGCAGAATTGCTTGAGTTAAAAAATTGCTTTAGCCTAGTTGTACTGGTGTGGCGTCCTTCGCTTTGGAGCTTACTGTACACCCGATCTGCCTGATCTCCAAAACTTTTATCAAATTGTTATGACCGTTTATTTATTTCTGTTCTGATGCTCCCCCCCCCCCCATTACCGTTTATTTATTTCTGTTCTGATGCTCCCCCCCCTTTTTTTTTTTTTAATTTGAGGAATATTTTCTCACAACAGTGGTCAGGCCGTATGGATATACTTCTGAAAATACAAAGAAATAAGAAAAAACTTGGGCTTGCTGCTTCCATTAGAAGAGATACTGTTCAACAGTGGCACGTAATTGCCCTTCTGTTTCTTAGGTGGACACTGCTGTTAAAATTGCTTTTTAGTGTTGGTTATGTGTGGTCTTTCTTCTTGTGGCTACTTGCACACAAGAAATAGGATGAACTGCTTTTTTTACAAAACTCTTGAGTATGACTTGGTCACAAGAACTGGGGATTCATTCCAGTGACATGGGGCAAATTCTGCTTGTCAGTTCCCTATGCTATTTGGTGCTGCAGAAGGTTTTTAGTGTAATTTTTGTTTAGTTCTCTAATCTAAACTCTGATGGACTTAAGTTTGCGACTTGACAAATATAAACTTCTGTTGAGTAAAATGACAACAATCGTTTCTATTTGCTTTTCTAGGAAACTGAATTTTATCTAATGGTGATGTTGCTTGCTTAAAGCAAAACTATCAGTTTTAATTCACTTCTGCAATTCAATAACTCTTTCAAGAGAGGAGATTGCTTTCTTAGCTTTTCTGACAGGGGACAAGCAAGCATCAGGGCAAGGGGAGTTAGAATGTGTCTAAGTGATATTTCAGAGGCAGATAAGTGCAAGCTCTGCTGTCTTCTGGAGCGCGCGCGCGCGCCAGCTTTGGTAAGCGTGGTGGTGAGCCTCAGCTGGCAAGTCTGGCTGGGTAACTTAGCTTAGTGCTGCGCTGCTTTAGTTACACTATCTCTGCTTTAGAAGTAACTTGCATACCTAAAGCTCAGTGTAAAGGCAGACTATCAGCCTCAAAACTTCACCTAGGCGTTCCTGTGGAACGAGAGGAAGAAAGAGGGATGCTGCTGCTTTGGGTTGCTGCAGGAAAAAACCTTCTCCTCCTCTGCCCTTGCATAAGCTTTGCTTTGCCAATCTAGTGGATGGCCCTGGCATACTAGTAGCTGCTTGATTGATAGTGTCTCATTCCCAAACAGATTATCGCATTGCTTTAAACATCTGCTCTGTCCTGTAGTTCCTCATGGGACAAAGCCTTTGGCAGGATTCCCAGTCCATTGGAACGAACTGGGGAGCCGCACAGGAGGGCAGGGGCAGAAATCGGAGGGCCCCAGCCCAGTACCATCAGGCTCCCTTCTTCCAGAGGTACCAGAGGGGCTGGGGTAGGGCCAAAGGCAGAGCGTTCCTCCTCAGCACATCCGTGGGTAGTTGTGTCCCATGAGACCCTTTCTCAGCTTTGTTCTATATGTCTTTATTATGAGGAATAATGTCTTGTGTGGATACTGCTCAGTTTTTAAATGGGGGTAGAAATCCCTTTTAGTGATTAAATGCACCTTGAAAAAGGGCTGGGCTGGGTTTATAGGTCTCTGTGTGGTGACCTTTGCCTGTTGGTGCTCCTGTATTTTTTCATCTTTATTAATAAAGGTATTCGTTTGGGAGTTTATGGTATTGTTACTGCTTTATAAATCATATTGTAATTACACGTGATGGTCGTTAACTGGTGAGTATTCTGTGGTACTGGAAGGTAGGGACTCCCAGCTGAAGTTTTGACACAGAATCTTCTTGTCACATGGCAAGAGAAAACTTTTCTAAGGAAATGATCTCTGAAGGTTTTCCATTTATAGTTTTCAGACTGTTTGCACAGTTAAAGGATCAGATACTAAGAGCTTGTTTTGTTTACTGGTCCTCACTTGTGTGTTAAAAACTGATAATCGTGTGGATTTCTTTTATACTGTTTTTTTTTTTAATATACAGCCATCACTGTTGTATGTGTAGTAGTGGAAGGCTCAGTGGGAACATAGCTGTTGATAGGGAGTAAGCAGACTGTATTGACTTATTTGGGGCTTTTTGCTTTTTTAAATTTCCCTGTAAACAATATTGTCTACACCTTTGCTAAGCACAGTTTGACAGTGACTAAGCCAGAGGCAGCATTTACCGTGAGGAAACATCAACCCATTAGCATTTTCGTTGGGAGCAATAGTGACAAACTTGGTGGGGGGTGGTGGTGGAGGGACCAGAGGTCCAATGAAAGCACAGCCATTGGCTGCCTCTTTAACCTGGAGAGGGGGATGACCTTGAACTAGACAAATCCTATTTAAAGAATTGGGTAATTAGTAGTCTTGTCACTCCCCAGATTAGCATTTTGAATCGCTTTCAGTAAAAATGCAAACTGCCTTTATTATTTCTGTCTTTCAAAAAGCACATAATTGCAAACTATTTTGTTATTTGAGATGCTTCTTTGAATTGCCTTCAAAAAGGAGATTTTTTTTTTTTTTTTTTTAATCTGGGTGAATGGTTTTAGTTGTTTGCTGAATGGCACTATGTTAAGATTGGGTTTGTGCCTTGCATAGCCCCACCTTGTCTGAGGATTGAAAACGTAGAAAGGCCTCACCCCACTTTATTTCTTGTGTAGGGTAGCAAAACCAAACCTAACCCATCATCTCCACATTGATTTTACAATACATATTAATTAGTTTATGAATATTTCATGATCTCTCAGCAATCTTTTAATGATCTTTTTGTCATTCCTTCAACTGACTGACGCTAGGGTCCTTTTGTGCATTCCATGTTTTCAAGTGGTATTTGTCCTCTAGTGGACTGACTGACTTCTGTAATCCAAGAGCCACTAGCTTGTAATCATCAATGAAGTATGCAGCCAGCACTTGGAAGCGAGAATAGAACCATTTTTAGATGTCTGAACATGATCTCACCCTAATGTTGTGGTGTGGGGTTTTTTGAGTCGTTCCATCCTGTTGTCCCCCTCGATATGTATTTAAATATTTATTTAATCTCTCTACTGGGTTTCTGATTTGGAGGGGAACAGTAAAGCAGTTGCAATTACCCTGTTCTGGGTGTTTTTGGAGAGGAGGAGGGAAGGTGTGAAAACACAGAGTGCAGTCCTCTTTAAGGTAGGTACTGCTGGTTTGGAAGCTTCTGCTCTAGCAGCTGAGCATAAGAGGATCCCAAGTGGGGAGATGGGAGGGAGGAGAATGTCTAAGACAATTTACTGGAGGTAAGTAGCCAATCTTTAGATATCTAGAAAAGCTTGACAGCTGTTTTTTAAAGCAACGCGGAGAATAAAAACAATTTAAGAGAATTGTGAGCACATTACTTTTAATTGCAAAGTTCAACAAACTTTGTATTTCATTCCATTATTTAGTGTTAATAGTTTAAAAAAACCAACACAGTTCCACTTATCTAACATGCTTCACGTTTCTACTTGTTTTATTTCTAGCATATTATCAAGTTTCACCGTGCCTCCAAAGCAAATAAAAAGCCCATGCAGTTGCCAAGATCTATGGTTAAATCCCTACTCTACCAGATTCTCGATGGAATCCATTACCTCCATGCAAACTGGGTGCTTCACAGAGATCTGGTAAGTGTTGCATGTACTACCTGGCAAAAAAAGTTTCATGTGCGTGTTGTTGGGTAGGAGAAGAAAAGTCCCTATCAGTAATCTTCCGTATCGATCCGTACAGCTCTTCCTGTTATTGTTGCAGGAGACCAATGGAGATGTTAAACATAAAAACAAACTGTGTTTTCACATTGTTTTTATCTGAGTCATCTGAGCTCAGACAATGATGCTAGATCCGGTGAAAGGATTGCAGATACCAATATCCGAAAACAGTACATGAGCCAGCTGATGTACGTTGGCTGAACATTCTTACAAGTTTGTGCACGAATTTGAAAAGGCATTTGAGTAGGAAAGTGATTGATACCCTTGTACATTGTGTGGCTTACATGCAAGTTACCATAAAAGCTAGAGAAAGAGTAGTTTTTTCATGGAGTATTTCTTTTCCATGTGGTATTTTTTCTGACCGTGGGAAGAGAACTATGAAAGAGTTGAAAGAGCTGTCGTCTTGAAATTTCTCATGACCTATAGTGGCTCTTTAAAGTTGACTGCAGATTACAAGGGCAGCCAGTTGCCTTGTCTTAGTTACCCTTTTCCCCTGAAAGTTTCCCACTACTCCTCATACTGAAGTGAACTGCTACCAAGGGTTGCAAAAAGAAGAATACTAATATGAGTTTAGTGTTTGCTGCCACATGCATTGTAACTAGAATTTTTGGCAAGAGACAAACATGATGGTTAATATGCCAAATCTTTTCTAATAGTTATGCTATTGTAACATCAGTAATAGGTATGGTAGGAAATGTAGTGTAATCTGCATATAAAGCCACTGCTTTTATTTGGCTATTTTTTCTTTTTACCCCAGTATGTCAAATTAAGGATGCATGTCCAGAAACTTACAATTGCTAATTAAGTTCTGTGAGACATAGATTGTTCTTGAGTCTTTAATAGTAAACAGGGGATTGGATTAATTTTTGAATGTAGAGCAAATGTTTTCTTAAGATACAAATAAACTAAGGCAGGCTTGGAATAGAAGTCACAGACATCTTCTGAAATAAATTTTATTTATTTTTTTGTCTTAATACCTAATAACAGTGGACAGAAGTGGAGTTTCAGGTTTTGGTATGGATTTTTTTTCCTCATTCATAGGTATTTATTGTCAGTTTTTCTGTTAAATTCCAGATGTTAGTATATTCGCGTGGGTGTTTGGGGTTGGGGTTTTTTTTCTCCTTTGGAATAGTAGCCACGTGCAAAAGCAGGAAGCAAGTACAACCCTCGTTTTCATGCTTCCATTATTACTTTCCTAAGGAGACAGCTGTTGCTTTGGCAGAATGCTGAGATGCAATTAGATGTATCTTGAGAAGGAACACCTGAAAAGTCTATATTCAGCTATGTTTAAGGGAAGCATATGTGTTCATGGAAATAGTAAATATATATACACTCATATGTCATACGTAAACTTGATATCTTGATAGGAAATACAAGATGGTATCTAAGATGATACTAACAGATACCCTAGAGAATTTTCTTGCTGGTGTTGCTATTTCCAGCCTGCAGCACCAGGTGTTTTGCCTGAGTAGTGCTGCTGCTGTACAGGTCTTATCTGTTGTTGATGAGTTGCAGCAAAGCTGATGCCTAATGTCTCTGTCTTCTCTTGGAACTCTGGGAGGTGAAGGTTGCTCTTACGAAAAGGATGGCTATTTTTCATGGCTCTGGAATGATAGTGCTTGACTGATGTTGCCATGATTGAGAAGGGAGAAGAACAGAAATTTGTGAAGTCTTAATGTGTTCTTCATATGGGAATAAATTTAAGCTAATGGGTTCTGGGATACCTCAGTGAGGGAAAGGAAACGATTTAAAAAAATGCTTTGATGCACTAGTGATTTAAAGATGTGTTCAGAATCTTTTGCATTTTTAAAAAATATTGCAAATTTCTGAAGAATTCAGGTATTTCAAATAGTTCTTTTCTGTCCTGAACACAGTAAGAAAAATTGATATTATTCTGGATGTGTCCCGTCTGCTCTTGAGATTAGGAGTTAATGTAATCATTTAGTAACCAATCCAAATTGTCAGCTAATAAAAAATTTTACCTATATCTAATTTTTATTCATGTGATTTTTGCTTCTAAGAATGGTACCTCAGGCACGATTTCACTGGGGTCAGTTTCTTGCATAATATGTGAATACCAACTCTCCAATGTTTTCTTAAGATGGGGAGCAGTTTTTCTGGTGTTTTTCTCTTAGCTGTTTTAGTTTACATCCGCTGGAAAAATATTTTTCTATTTTATGTATACCAAATTTTGCATCAAGACACCTTGTACTTTCCTGGTTTAATATAACTCTGTTCTTACTATTTTTAGCATGCATTTGGATGTAGACCAAAGATGGTGACATCCATAAAAGTCATGTTATGCTATTTCATTGCTTTTTTTTTTTTTAAAAAAAAGTAGATTCTCAAAGAATATTTATTGTAGTATTAGTGAAGTTCTCCCGAGCCGTGGAAATGACTTCAGAATTTATTTAACAAATGTTTCAATCAGAAAACAGAAAATTTGGGAGGTTAGGTATTTGTGAGAGCACTTGCCTTGGATGTATTTGAAGAACATTGTTTAAATCTTAATTTGGTACTGTCTTAAATCAAAATGTTTTTAAAGAAGCTAGAATACCAAATATGCTTTTTCAAAAAAACTTTGTTCTCAATGGATCTGTATTTTTAGATACCTTAAAATTGTTACTCTTGAATTATTTTTAAGATCAGTAAACGCATGAGAGAGTAATAAAATTGGTGGACAATGTGAGCTTGCAGACTTTCAATACCTGTCCTTGTTTCTACCACAAGGAGACAGTCTCATTCCCCTCTTTGCTACCACTAGGCATGGCCACCATTTTAAAGGCCTGGCAAGTGACACTCCTCTGACTCATGGTGAGCTCGTTCTGGGAGTTAAACCAACAGAAAGCAGCCCCCCTTCTCCTGCAGAGCTTGTTTTCTGCAGGAATAGCTCTCTCAGGGATCTCGTTGGGAGCTTACGTGTGTGGGAGCTGGCGCAGAAGAAGCATGAGGCTGGAGGTGGCAGCAGAAGGCTCAATAGGTCATTCTAGCATCATCTGCCATTAGATCAGATTATTTTGTTGTTAAAATGCACCTTTTAAATTCTTAGATGACAGAGCAAGTGGGGTCTTTTTAAAGATTAAATTAAATTGTGGTTCTAAGTCAGTATAACTTTTATGTTTACCTTGAATCTTTCATGATGTAAAACTTATGTCAGCTTAAACTCTCCCAGCACAAGTCCAGATTTGTGAAAGTGCCCAAACTGAGGTGAATGATAACACCAAATACACTCACGCTCATACTTCTAGAACTATGAAAACAATTTAGTGTAGTGTACCTTTCAATTTCTTGTAGTACCAGGGTTATTTTGTTTCCAGATTTCTTATCCTGAAGGTAGCTGAAGGGTACTAAGTGATTTTTGAAGTATAGGTTTTTGGCTAAGCTGTTAATTTCTGCCAGTTCGAAAATATTCAGTAGTAACTTTACAGCAAGATTCAAACCAGTACAGAATATGGGATAGCAGCATTAGAGTTTTGATTTCTTAGAATAACGATGTGTCAGTTAGTACACCTTAGAGTTGACCTAAGTCTATAAAAATCCATACATTTGTTCTCCTATCAAGGCATTTGGAGTGGGATTTGTTTGTTGGATTGTTTGTTGTTGGGCAGCGGTAATTCTGCCTTTTCAACACAGCAGCATTCCTGAAAGCCATGTGTGAGAGGAGGGAGGCTTTGCTGGCTCTACTAGCTGCTGGGGCATTTCATTATGAGCAAGAGATTAGTATAGATAGATATTAGAGAAAGAACCTCTTGGTACTAAGCTTTTGTTTTTTAAAGTGCTCTGTATACACTGTGGGCTGTCCATTTGAGAGAGATCTAAAATTGTGCTCTGTACCTTGAGTCAATAGCAAGTTAGAAGATGCAGCATGTGAAGTACAGTATTGTAGGGTGTTATGGTATATTTGTGTTCTCCTCCCTTAAATGTGAATTATTTAGATTCTACAGGAATGTTCAGCAAAGGCCTTACTTTGCAGAGACGTCTAAAAATGGAGATCTTCCATACACTATTCACAGTGCACATTCATGTTAGCAACAGAAAGGATTTTGGCACTTTTTCTGGTGCTAATAATGCTTCTGTGGTTGATGTTAGTTGCTTCAGGACAAATGCAGGCAGAGACCATTTCCTTTAGAACTTGATAAAAGCAATTTTTGTTTGTAATAGGATGTATTTTCCTGGAGGGAAGGTATTATCTGTGGGATGTTTTAAGTGCACAGAAAGCATATTGAGGAATTCATTTAAGATTCCACTTATGTCCTTGAGCATTTCTTTAGAATACTGCGTAATGTTATTAGACTGCTGGTTGAAAATGAATGTGGGAAATCAAACTCACCAGAGAAATGCAGATTATTGGTTTGTTTTTTTTTTCTTTCCCCCCCTGTCCCCCTAGGACTGTGTTAAAAAATTACTTTCAGCATTCTGAAATCGGAAACTTGCTCACTGCAGTAGTCATATAAACTAACTTTGTAAAATGAGCCAAGTTCCTAAAGTGTTTGTATTACAATGTTAAATACTTGTTGGCTAAGAATTTCTTAGTTTCTTTTGTATTGCCCTTCTACAGCTTTAGAATGCTTAAATTGACTATGTGTTGTTTTACAAATTAAAGATTAACTTACAGTAAAAGTCTTTTAGATGGAACAACGGTGATATAGGTGTAAATACTCAATGTTTGACACACCTTTGAACTCACAATTTTGATTTACTTACAGGGGGCAGAGTTAACATGTTCAGATGGAAGAAGGGGTGTCCCTGAGTCTTAAATTACAGAGATTTTTAAAAAATTCCTTTTCACTCTAGTAATTGATTTGTATTATTCTGTTCAGAAGAAGATTTAGGTGTCTAAAGTATAGGTGAGACAGAAGGTAGATTCTAGATGAGGTGGTTCCCTGGGCGGGTTTGGAGATATAACGTACTGTTGATGC